ATCAAAAAAACATACTTGATTTAAATACATTTACTTAAAAACCAGTGACAATTCTTTACTTCAGAGTTCAAAACTTGTTAATTTTTCTCAGTAGTTGAAAAATATCATTCATCAGTTTATCCTTGAATAACAGTAAATATTTACAAGTTTCATTCAACTACCTAGTGAAGAGGTTTTCTAAATATTTTATATTTTATGTGTACCAGGAACACCGATAGTATCAATTTGCACCATTTCAATTTTCAAACGTCTGTAATTCCTGCACAAAAACTAAGTGTTTAAGTGTTTTAGTGTTAAAGTGTTTTATTACGTCACTATTCACAAAATATGCTTTATAACATAAGGCCCTTCGTGATTAGTGACATCATCAATCACTTAGTTGTAGTAGAATTGCAGAAACCACAGACTTCTGATTGAAAATTGGAATAGTGCAAATTGATGCTATCAGTGTCTGCGATACACATAAAAAATTGCGAAAAGCTCTTTACATTTTAAGTGTTTACTTGCTAGTTAAAGACATGGATATCTTATTAAAATTGATCATGAAAAGAAGACTACTGGTAATGAAAGTAAATGACACTATCTTATTGAATGGCAAGCTTGCTCTTTATGTCCTTTTTTTTTTAACAAGTTTCATCAAAATCAGATAAAAACTATTGAATCTATTGCATTCACAAGCCATTTGAGGGTGACAGGACAAGGTTGATAAGCAGCAATGACTGGAGTGACACTAGGCATATTATGTCACCTGATACTACTTTCATTATGAAAAACATTCTCATATATGATTGATATACCTCCTCGTATGAAAAAGTTATTAACTACTATCAGTTTTCCATTTGCAGTTTGGATCATTAGTACTTTGCACTTTTTAACATAATGTAGGCTAATAAAAATCTGCAAGAAATGTGAAATTCTGAATTATTTCTAAAACCTCCGTTTTGTCAAAAATAACCAAAACTCATTATTTAGTCACTTTAATTTTGTCAGTTTAAAAGCATTTTGTCAGTTAATCAGTTTTAAGTATTTTGTCAGTCAGTCAGTCAGTTTTAAATATTTTGTCAGTCAGTCAGTCAGTTTCAAGTATTTTGTCAGTCAGTCAGTCAGTTTTAAGTATTTTGTCAGTCACTTTTAAGTATTTTGTCAGTCAGTCAGTTTAAAATATTTTTTGTGTTAGTGTTAAAGGGACATGTGGGCCATTTTAAATATAAGTAAATAGTCTTCAGAAGTACCAAATGTACGAAAATCGCATAATTCATTTAAAAATTACTTCAAACTAGGAATTGTACTCTCTTTTTCTATATATGTCTTTTCTATAAATCACAGAGTATCCTTAAATGACGTGTCGTCAATTTAACATTCATGCATAGTTAATTCTGGATACACATAGATATTAAGGCTCAAATTCCGACAGTGAGCTGTGAACATTATTATGGTTGGCTTAGCCTTAGCTAAAAAAAATTCCAGTTTCTGAGATCAAATTATGATTAGTCAAAAAAAATGATGTTTTTTGTCAGTTAGTTCGTCCTTTGTCACTATGGTAAGTTTAAAAGTCTATAAGTATTTTGTCACTTACAGTTTAAATGTGCTTCAAACTGCATTAAGCACTCAATTAGCTTTCATTCACAATTGGTTAATAATGGGAATTATTATTCAGAATGTAATATCAAGATAATTTCAAGCTCAACCCTTCACACATTCTATGTCAGTCATATTATGAATAAATGTAAAATAGCTTATAAATATTTGATTATTGTAATCAACAATCTCAACAGTGTTAAAGTAAGGTCAATAATTTTTTGTTTGCATTATGAAGCTTGAGAGATACATAGTTTATTGGGGGATAATGGACATGCTGGTTTTGAACTTTATGAGGTTTTTGTCACTATATACAATGCAATGAAAGTTACTTGTTTCAAATACTTTAATATTATTGATAATGTAGACATTAAAATCCAAATCTAGACAAAGTTGCAGTGAAACACACACTATATAAGACCAAGGACTTAGAGATGTCAGATAGGAAATAGGAAATGATACAAGTTATAAGTATTCAGGATACACTACATATGCTAGAAAACCTTTCAGTCCCTAATATCATTAATGATATAATATTTAGTATGATCCATGGTTTAACAAGTCATATTATATAGTTTATTTAGTATGTTTTAATATTTAGTATGATTTGTGTTTGACTATTTAGTATTGATTTGGTATACATTTACAATGTTTTAGTATTAAGTAGGACAGAAAAGTAATTTAAAAAGAAAAAAGGCCACAATTCATGATGTTCGTGTTATTAAAGAAAATGTCAATAAAAATGTCTACAATCTAAAAGAGGAAGTTTTCAAGAAAATATAAGTTTAAAACAAAACAGAGACCAGACAGGAAATTTGACTTAAACCAAGCTTAGCATGACAAAACTCTCCAAATATAAATTGCATCCATATGAATTAGAAAATTTATTTCATATTGTTAATACATATAATATCTAACACATTAGGACTTTTTTACAACTAAATTGATGTCCAACAATTGATACACCAATACAGCAGCAAAGTGCATGACACAAGTTGCAAAATACATAATTTCCCATTAAAATCACAGACTAATATATAATACATCTTCCAAGCAAAATATAGAGGGTCTAAATTGTTTCTGTAAATTTTATATGTTGATCTGAAACAATCAACCTTCAAATATTTCAAAAAGCCAAAAGCAGTCACCCGTTTTAAATGTTACCAATACACATAAGAATACCAAGTTTAATTTAGTATCTCATTAACATTTGTGGTCAATCAAGGAACAAGACTGTCCTGATTTAAACTCTTATTAGAACAGGGAAGAAACTTTGGATGTCTTTAAAATCTCATAATTCAGTTGCTCTGAGCAATTATTTTCTTTCATTTCAGTTTGCTCTTTAACAAAAAACAGAACATTCCCAAGGATTTTCTTTTAAGGACAGATTTACCCTTTTCATACCTTAGTGTCTAAAACAGAAATTGTTCTGCTAAACTACCTAAAAAAAACCTCAAAATTTATTTCACTGTGCATAGTGCGCACCCCTTCTGAAAGGGGCCCATTTTGGGTTAAAAAACAGTGCATTATATTCGGAAATATACAGTAATATGTTCACAGCTTACTGTCAAAATTTTATACTTCCTATTCACATTCATAATTATTCATGTTTGAAAGCTTTTTTAAATAATTTTAATGAGTCATCTTTTTAAGAGCCTCCATTTTGAAGAATTGTAAAAGACTTCATAAATCAAAAAATTATCGTACAGCAAAGTCATAGGTTTAGATAAGATAAGCTTGTAAACGAAATAAATAAATGTGAAATTTAGAGTTTGAGATATTTTTGAAAAGATAATACTATTTGCATATTTCTGAAGACTATTTACATCAAACCCAAATCAATCCATGAAAATGGCGAACCATGGCCTTTCATGTTTTTGTCCATTTGAAGTGAGCCTAACATGTTCAGTTGACCAGGTCTGTTGATTTATTAAGTTGATTTTGGTGTAAGTTTCTGGGGAATAGAAACATTTAAAAAGTTGAGTAGCTAACATTATTGATACTGGTTATTGACAAAAGTTTATATGACCAAATTGATTCTACTATATCAAGTAGAGTGTTATTATATATTACTGTGTTCTATTTCAACTGTCATGTGAATTATCATAATTTATCAAAAATTTTTACTTTGCTTGCATCCTTAGGACTATTTTTTTTTTGCTTCTTTCATATACATGTATATAGGCTAATTGATCTGATCTTTAGTTCACTAAAGGGAACATGGTTCATACCTGGTTTTCTTGAAAGATTTACAATGGAGGTTTTCTAGCCTATGGTAAATATAATTATTTGTTTGCTTGAACAGTATTTACTATAGTAAACTATCATTAATGCAATAGACTTGAAGAAGTATATTTTTCTTGTATTTTGAATATGCATTACAGATTTATTGCCTCTAAAAATGAAGACTCATAATTCCAGATGAAATAAATGTAAGTTGTGAAAAGCTCATCATGTGCTGATTCAGCACCTTGAAATGCTTAGGACTATACTTAAAAGTTTAAATGAAATGGTGTCATAAAATATTCAATATCACTTAAAAACCTTTTTGTTTAAAACCATTAAAAGCTTAATCTAGTTGGTGAACTTGAACAATTACCATTTTCATCACATACACAGGTACAAAACAATGGGAAACTTGATGTAATTCCCTTACAGGGATATAAAACTACAATTATACTATTATAACCTGCAGATAAAAGTCTGATTTGAATAGAGAATTACTGCCTGGGGTGAACACTCAGTAGGGAATTATTTCCTTAGTTGATTATTGCATAATGAGAGATATGTCCATTAACTACTATTCTTCCCTTTCAGGAGAGCACACATATTTTACTTATGTAAGAATTTATGATTCAATGTTATGCCAAAATGTATCTTTTGAGGGTTACATAGCCTTTAGTAAATTTCTTCAGAATGCATTCAGGAAATCATTTTTAGCCTTTAGCTTATATAGTGCCAAGCCCAAGTTGGATAAAGATGTTGTAAAATATGGAATCAGATTGAATCATTATATAAGACTAATGGGCTTTCAGAGAAATGTTCGGGCAAAAGTCAGCAACCTGTACTTTTTACACATTTGAGGCATGCTGAATCGAACTGATATTCTGGGTTCTTGACCTTTTAATTTGCATAACACAATGGTTACCCTAATACCTGCTGTTTTTGAAACTATATCCTAACATACATTTAAACTTTTTGCAAATGTTCTCCCGACATGCCATTTTCATACATTTAGAAAAAAAGATGATTAGTAGTAGAAAGTATCTAACAGTTTAACAATAAAATTCTTATCAAGTCATGAAAAGTCTAGTTATGTTCAATAATCACATGAATCACATCATTACTTATTTATCATGAAAGTACAGATATAAAGGATATAAACTTTAATAATATATAAAATAGACAAAAGTTTAACTTACATCACTGTCAGGTCCTTGATCCACACCAGGACATTGAAATGAGACAAATTCATGACATCTCTTATGTACTACAAAACTACACACTGTAAAAAACAAAACTTTCATTCAGTATTAAAGTTTGTAACACATAATGAGCCTTTTTTTATCAACATTTTTATATAATATATATGTATCTTTTTTACATACAACACATGTTTGAAGAAACCTCTATATAATGTATAATAGTACAAAAAATACTATTGACATACTGATTATTGATAAAATATTGACTTAATTAAATCTCAGTATATATATATATGTTGATGATCGAAGATTAACATCCAATGTTTGAAGCAATGTTCAATATAACTGCTAAATAATTCAAAACTGTAGCAATAATTCAATGATATAAATATATCATTATTTAATAATGATCAAATTTTGAAATATCAGGCACTATTTCTAGAATTATCCATAATTATAGATAGTTAATTTTAACTGTGTCGTGTAGGCCTATGATCAATTTAATTAATTTACAAGGCTTAAAGCTTATTTGAAAAAAAAAAACAATCAATTTGGAGTTTCAAATCACGAATTCACGCGCTTTGGAAAAATCTCCCGACTTTTCACCCAATCTCCAGATTTTTCAAGGCAAATCTCCAGATTTTTTTTCCTGACCTGTACACATGTATGAATTATATTAGGCTGATGATTCAAATAATCAACCTAAATCATAAATCTATAATCTCTGTTAAATTATACCTGGCTAGATTATACCTGGTTAGATTATACCTGTACCTGGCTAGATTATACCTGTACCTGGCTAGATTATACTGGCTAGATTTTACCTGTACCTGGCTAGTTTATACCGGGCTAGATTATACCTGGCTAGATTATACCTGTACCTGGCTAGATTATACTGACTAGATTATATCTGGCTAGATTATACCTGGCTAGATTGTACCTGGCTATATTATACCTGACTACCTGGCTAGATTATACCTGAACTCTCTGAAAGAGATGCCTAGTTGACAATTTAGGTTGCAAAGTGGCACCAGGTGTACAAGAAGATTAAATATGCACTGAATGTAGCAACATTTCTACAGTCCTTATTATAGTGGAAAATACAACATATGAAACAAAATATGATATATAAGGAAGTAAAATTCAAAATTGTTGTCAATGAAAAATAATAACTTATACATCAATACTTCCTGTGAATCTGATATACACCTACTATAACAGGAAATGACACATAATTGAATACAATTTATAATTCATTATTGTTTTTATCTATTACAGTTCTATTTTCGTTCTCTTTAAAACATAACATTTATTTTTATAGTCAATCTACCCAAATGTCACAATATCATCACTTTAATGTATCATGTATGGACAGTGGCACATTTAGGCATTAATTTTTTGGCATAATAGTGTGCTAGCAGCAGTTAACCACCCCCCCCCCCCCCTCTTCCCCACCCCCCTCTCATTACATTCAGAGTATCATTTAGAATTTACTTCTGGCATAATATAACATTGACAGTCTCCAGCCCATGTAGATGTCAAATGTCATAATATAAAACATCATGTCTAAAGGCATCAGACAGCTTATTTCATTTCATGACTTTTTATCAGTTCAAATCAACATATTTTCTTATACTGACATTTTCAATTTGAATCTAATTTCTAAGAATGGTTGTACAATTCTTCATACTGTTATCCAATTACTCAAAATGTTAAGTTAAAAATAAAAGCTGCTGATGTTTATTCTTTATAGTTAAAGGGACAGATGCACCATTGTGAGGGTTGATTTGACTCTTCAGAAGTACTAGAAATATACGAAAATCGCATAATAGTAATGATTGGTCAAAACAATGCGGCATATTCTGTCCCTTTAAATTATTCCAATGACATTCTGAATTTTATTTGTTGATTTGATCAAGTTTTGTAAAAGGTATTTTGATAGTTATAAACAATATTAAGGCAGTGCAATATTAACTGAATATGATATTCATAATAATGACCATTCTCATCACTAATGTTATGAATGTAATATTATATATTTTCATATATTTCCCAGTAATATACACAGAAGACTTAGCTGTATATTACATATTAGTACATAACACCACATTATTCTACAAATACCAGCATAGACAGATAACAACATTATCTTGTATACATTACAACATATATCATCACATTGTGTTACATTGTAGTAAACATAATTATCAACATACCTTGACATTGGAATCCTTGTTTTCCAAATCCCCTGAAATAAATTAAAATATACTCTATTAAATATGTTAAAGTCGTTAAGGCGACAAAACCTTATTGATGATAGAAAATAGCATCGGTGAATTCAATCTGAAGTGCTTCTCGCGTGCCATTAATAGATCATCTTCTCTATCATATACACTTTATACATACCAAATAAAATCCTTGCAATGGCTACAAAATGTAGGTTGCTTGAAAAACCTCGGCACAAATTTATGATCTTTGACTTCAAACACATTTTTATGTCGAAATCCGCCCCTACGCTGAACACCCTTAAAGGCATTAGGAGCCGATTCTTCAGCCATCTTGACAGTGATGTTAGTCCTATCTTCTGATATTAACTATCCATATTCCAGGGCCTTTCACATATTATCCTCACTATTTCATATCGTGCCGTGTGCAAAATCATTTATACAGAGGATTTAACATTTGATTTCTATCTCACTTCTATGTGTTAAAACGACTTCGCTCTTTTTTATATGACACAATTTGACGAGTTTTTTTCTCTTTAACACACGACGCCCCCATATCATTCTAATAACACTAATAATTTAAGCCTACATGTCTGAGAGGACTGAAGAAGGAATAGACAATGTTAGCCTATACAATTTTATTGAGGGTTAAATTTTTTATTGACGTTTTTGGTGGGGTAGAACACAAGATATGTTACATTCGTGTCGATGTCTTTGATAGATATTGGTTTTCCATACTAAATTTTAAAGGGATTGTGAAGAAGTTTTTCCCTGTGATAAAGCATATATTTTTCAATTAGTGTCATCAAACTCTTATAGTCTTAATGGAATTTCAGGAATCACCAATCCGCCCCCTTGCCCCCTGTAATAACGGGCCTGGATACAAGAAAGGTGATCTTCCGCTTGACGTCAGTAGGACTGTTTCTGGTCCCTTTGGAAATAGTATCGAACTGTTATAATCCAATCGTTTAGTTAATATTCTCGAGTCTCTTATAAGACGTAAACTTTAAAAATATCTTTAACTTTGTTACTTGCATACATGATATATCTTCATTTACGCTACGTCTGGCACAACAATCCCTTATCAGACACACAGGCGTATTTAGCAGTGTGGGCCATGTCCCGCTGCCTGCAGATGCTTTGAAAAGGTCAATGGGCACTTAATGAATTTTGACTTCGGAGAGACACCTTCCACCCCAACAGACATTTTCTAGATACACGTCAGATCAGATAATATTTGACTTTCACCCTATCGTTGAAATTACCTGCCAATAACCAGTTCTACAGTCGAGACGCATACAACATTTAAATTAGTGTAACTTTTACAGCAAGTAAAACCATTAGATTAAAATTTGGGAGTCAAACAACAAAAACGGTTCTTCTGGTAGGTGCTTCTGTAGTGTTTCACATGCATTCGAAGCATATTGGAAAGGCAAACTGGGTAGTAGATTATCCAAACCTACACAAGGGTTTTCAAAGACCAAAAAAGGGAAAACTGTTTTCGATGACCATCAAGGTCCAAATTTGTTTTCAAACGCCTGTTTTTATTTTACTATGTAAAGAAGAGGTCTTTCTTTAATAAAACAAGTTTAATAATATGACATTCTGTGCATTGTTGAATTTAATTCGCTAGTTTGTTTCATCTTCTGTATCAAATTTCATTCGTCAAAAAAATAAGAATAATGTTATATCATACATTTATTTAGAATAAGTTGTGAATACAGTTGTCTGAAGACATTTAACACAACCACATACTACAATATTCCTGATATATATATTGTACATGTACATATAATGGGACTGTTTATTACAGGAACTGTTCATAGAAAGATTTTGAATATAGCACAATAGTTACAGTTAAGACATTGTATAAATCTTAATTGAATCAACTCACCATAGTGTTTAGATAATGTAAGTTGAAGCTTTTGAGATTCACGAGGCCAAACATATATGAACTTCCTAGTAACCATTTGTATTTTGCAACAATTTGTATTTCAGTAGATTAGTTTAGTTAAAATCCTTGAAAACTGTTGAATTATCATCTTTAGCCACAACCAAAGTTTTCAAGAGAATCAATTCTTGTGTTTTATCACATACAGACAAAATTCTTTTTTTGATGTTGTAAGAATTTTTTCAAATAGATCAGAATCGAAAATTTTCATCTGAGGTAATCAAATGATCAAAAATTATAAATATTGTATAAACAATTCCTTTATCTCCAAAATCAATAGGGTATTTTGTTTGAATCAATATTATAAAACCTATACATAGGTAAATACAAGTAAATACTTTTTAAGTAGATATACTTGAGTAATACTAATATGGACTAAATAAAAACATTTTGATTATCAATAATATCACTTAGTATTATATACATGTAAATAACAGTACCATTCAAAAGTCATTTTATCAGTTCAATAGGATAATGATTTGATCATTAATGCTCATTGTTTAAGTACATTGTAAATAAACTAATGTTTATCAAAATTGGTTCAAATAAATATTCAAAAATTAAAATCTTATAAAACTTCAGTAAGGAGTTTTGGCAATTTCATAAATGGTACAAAACATCTGAATTTTTAGTTTAAGTAAAAAATTTCTCTTAAGTGTTAAAAATGAACTGTTATAAAAAAATCTGGCATAATTCATTGTCCTGTGGAAGGAATATGGATTTCATTATAAAATGCCTCAAACAATTAATATACATATAAAATGATTCAGCATAAAAATCAAGTCTCTTTGGATCCATAAAAAAGAATCTTGACCATTCTGTCCATAAAAAGAACACACAGAGTATCAATTACCTTTTTTTTAAAAAAGCGCCTAAAAAATTCCAAACAATAGGTATTAATTTTTCTTTCCAACTGTAAATGCCAAAAGAATTATTTGAGGAATTCCTGAGTACTCCAAAAGAATTAAAATTATCTATTATACACAATTAAAGAACATTTACACACATAATATATACAAAAAATGATTTATTTATAATGAATATTATATACAAATGAAATGAAGAGGATATAAGAGTGAAAATAATGCTTTTTTGATTACTGTATTGATTTTATGATGTATGCTCCATCAACATGATTTCATTGTAATGACAATATGGTTCAAATTCTTCTACCAGCTTTATGTCACCAATGAGTATGTAAATGATATCCAAGTATAAAAATAATCCCATGGTTTTGCATAATACTTATCATGACCTCATCTATAGGACAGACCAGCACGAGCAATGGAACAAGATCACATAAAGGATAGAAATTCGGCATCTTTAAATTGAATGTCTACTTCTTTTAGATTGAATTCTATCAAACTTGCTTTCATGAGTTCTACTGATCATTAAAAATTATTTGGTATTAAGTAAGTACAGTTTCGATTAAAATGATCTGAGCACATTTATGATGCCATTTTCAGCAGTAAGTCATTTTCCATTCTTCACTAGTAGTCTTTATTTCACTCACTATTATTAAGATTTTACTAACAAATCGCTGTTCTCACGTATTTTACCCAATGTCTTCTTTACACGTAATGCAGTAAGTCGTGCAGCAGGATTATTCGTCCAACATTCTGACATAACTTTTGATAAAACTTTTAATGCCTAAAACAGGAAATAAAATACATAATACATAAAGTTAGTAAATTGAGAATATTCCCAAATGTTCATGCTGTCACAAAATTGTTAAGCATCTCACTTGCTAGGTCATATGACATTGAACCAATTCAACCTGATTAAAAGATTTCTTTCAGATTAAGAATAATAACTTAAGTTACATGTAGAAAAGGCATAGAAAATTGTGCCCTGTTACAGACACACTTTAAACTAAATTCTGAAACGTACCCAATCACTATGCCATCTATTTGGTATATTAGGTCGTATTTTATCCACAGAAACAACTTTTCTCATATCTTCAAAACTGGGATCACTCTGTACACAATCATAGTATGGGATCTGATAGTCATCAGCTATACCTGATAAATAAACAGAATTAACAATGATCATATTGAATGTTGAAATGGACTAAATTTTAGTCATTAGATATGCAGCCAATGTAGTCTTGAGTTGCTAGTCAAAATATGCTGTACAATGATGTATCGATACACTAAAGGAACTGAATCTGCTCCACTTCCTGTCTGGAACCTAGCTTTGTATATTTGCCTTTTCTCTTTAATTTACTATTAAGAATCTCTTGGTAATCTTTATTACAGATTGACAGTGCTAAATGGTGTACAATGAGGGACATTTTGCCAGAAAAGCAGCAAAGACATTTTTAGTATACCAGTTGAAACTTACCTCCTGAAACACATCTTCTACCTATTTCCCATAAAACTAAACCAAATGAGTACATATCAGCTTGTTTAAATGAATCAAAATGATGTCTGTTTAATGTTAAATCTAAAACCTCAGGTGACATGTAACGTTTTGTTCCTTGTCTTGTATTCGGGGCTATATCAACTTCACTAGATTCACTGTAAAATATCAAATGTTGGTTTTTATGTAAGAAATAGAATATCAGAAAACACTAACATTTTTAAATTGAATCCATAAAAATCTAAAGCTGTTGCAAATGCAATTTTTAAAGCAAAGATGTTGATAAACATTAGAAGAACCCTTATGAGTCTTGAAAATATTGATAATGTATTTAAAACAAACAGAACAGTGTCTGGTTTCCTTGTGCATGACCATAAAAAAAGATCACTAGTATCAGTGAAATACTAAATCTAAAAAAAAATCTTTTGTATACCTTATGAATCGAACCGCCAAACCCAAGTCAGCAATACAACAAGTACCATTCTTTTTAACTAATATATTCTTACTCTTAATATCACGATGTGCCATTGCAGGTTTACCTAGATTAGATACAAAGAGTCAATTACCTTTACACTTAAATACAAGATTTAACTCAAGCTGTTTTTACATACTATTCATAACGACAGTCAACATACAGGCTGTATGAAAATCTAATATTCATTAATTTGTGGATTCACTAACCTAAATCTTTTTTCAGTAAAATATAACAGTTCAACAAGTAACTCACTAGCCCTGTCCCTTTTACTATATTGTTAGTAACAACAAAACTAGACATGAGCAGGATTGGTAAGCTTATCAGATATGATAAATGGAATATTATACATACCTCTAGTTCCAAATATTTCAGTGTGTAGATGTGAAATACCACATGAAGCTGAGTGAGCTAATTCGATCATTTCATTAGTATCCAATGTACGACTCTTCAAATAATCATATAAGGAACCGTTTTCATGGTAATCTGTGATCAAAAATAACTGTGTCCAAGATCCTGTTCCTTTTATATCAGCAGCAATAAAACCTAAAACAATAAAAAATAATTTCAATATCATCTAACAATACCAAGTATGATCAAGTAAGAAAGTAAAATAAAGTAAAATAACAAATAAAGTCTGTACAACTAACAAATAAAGTATGTTCAAACAAATAAAGTATGTTCAACTAACAAATAACATTTAAAGTATGCTCAAGTAACAAATGAAGGGAGAAGACTGCCAAGAAAGACAAGTAAGGGAGTTAATTCATCATAATACAACTTAGATCTCGCTCAGAAACCAGAGGATCAATGCGATGATGCAATAATTAAATTTAACTTTTACAAGTTGGAAGAATGTTGATCTGTATCTAATATGATTTCTAACTTACTTACCTAGAATATTATCATGTCTTAATAACACAGTTTGATAAAGTTCAGTTTCCCGAAACCAACTTGCTTCTTCTGTTGTGAAGAAGATTTTGACAGCAACATTTTCACCTCTCCATTTTCCTTTCCATACTTCACCATATCTACCCTTACCTACACTTTTCACTAAATTAATTTGTTTGGCAATGGTACGCTGAACCTACAAATGTTAAAAATACTTTTTCAATACTCTATGGTTGTAGTTTCCATTTCTTTGTAATTGGTTTTTATTAAGAAACATCTGTCATATTTTTTCAAAACCCACATTAGATTCAAAATAAATGCAAAATATGAAATAATAGAGTTTTACATCCTACTTTTCTGCACCATGTCAAAATATTAGACTAGAACTTACAAGTAATGGAAGACCAGAACCACTGCCTGAACTATGAGAATGCTCTATTAATTCAGATAAAGTTTCACCATTGGTTATAAAATTTTCATTTTCAGCTTCTTCTAGAATTTGTCTTCTTTCAGTTTCTCTTCTTCTGTACCTAGATTAGCAATTATATTTTTAACAAAAATTTCAGCAATACATTTATACATAAACTTTAATAAGAAAATTTGCATTTGAATTGAAAAAAAAGTGGCAAGAACAATGTTGGATTAAAAAATATCCATTTATGGACTATGTCCAAATGTTCATACATCACCGAATTATATTTTAATCCATATCAAGGAATATTTGATAAAAAGATTTACAAGGTTTTCAAAAATTATACTAACTTGAGATACACAAAAGCTACAACTACTATCAATATAATTAGACAAACAGTAATTGATATTAACAATGCTATCTGGGTAATACTTTCAAATTTTTCTGTTGGTACTGACCCTAAAATATATATTCATTAAGTCATTAAAAACCTGCATTATATTTTTTGTAAAAAATCAAACCCTTCGAAAAACAGAATCCTAATGATGGAAACCATTACAAATTTGCTTTATTCTACAATTAGAAAATATTTTCATAATCTCACAGGCACACAACACATGAACTTAAGATTTTGAACCTGACAAAAAGAACAATTTACCTGGAGCAAGTGTAGTGGAATATACAGGTAATTCTATTTCTAAATGTTTATTACAGAAATTTTCTTCACAACAAGCTATTTTTCTTGGTTCATAATGAGGTGATATATCTGCTTGACACTGAAAGTAATTAAATTTAACTTTTAATTATAAAAGGCGAAAATCATTGACTTTAGATAGTAACATTGCCTAGCTGGACTATAAAACTTACTTAGCTCATATAAGCTCACATGAAAATGATTACTAGTCCTTTGAATGGGGTAAAAGGTGCAAGTAAAGAGAGATAGAATTTCCTTTCGCTTCAAATTAGTCCAAACCATTCATTTTATATGCATAAGAATCTCGATAAGCTTACCTGTAATAAGGTACCAGCATCAGGTGCTAAACAACCAAACGTTAATCTCTCAACTTCTTCATCTTCTATATGTAATAATTCTATAGCAGCATAACATCTGCTCATAGGACTTTCTGTTATACATGTTCCATTCTGCTCTGTTTCATGGCAAGGATCACAATAACACTGTAATCCTAGACCTGTAAAAAAAGTTATAAAGCTGAGGACATAATCTCAAAAGTTGAATTCATGTAACACACACTAAAATCTCATGATCAGAAAAAAATATCATAATCAGACCTACATGACATACTTACAGCTCAAGCAGTCGACCAATAAGTTTAACATCATTGATTGAAATAATAAGCATCTTTAAAAAAAACACCAAGAAAAATGTTTTTTGAAAAGAGCTGGTAAGTACGAAAGTTATGTGCAATAAACATAGCCTGTCAAGGGTAAGCTTATAACAGCTAATGCATACAGAGGGTTCAATAACTCATCTGGAAATTTTTTAGAATACAGAAGATCACATTATTAGTAGCCGTCTGTTGGAAGCTGATATTTGCAATCATAAAAGGTCTAAACAAAAAGAGTGTGGAGACATCATTTATGTTAGCTTTTAGATCTAGTGTGTATATTTAACTAAAACATTATTTTGAATAAAACAGTATATAAATAAAGAAAGGTGCACGATGTACTACAAATGTACACTTCGTACAATATTATTGTTTTTCAGTCAGTTGAGTGTCAGTTTCTTTTCCACAACTGATGCAACTTTCTATTATAGTCACAGACATGCTTCTCATCACATACATTTTTTGACGAGAAAAAGTACTATATCGGTGTTTAAATTACCAAATGAAGCAATAATATTACCTGGTGAAAAAGCATTAAGGGCCAATAACAGTGCAATTAGGATCTGTCGATCACAAAGATCCCATTGCATTTTGGCCGCCATCTTTTTTAATAGTGACGTCACGCTATTCTTACAAATATATAACCTCCCTCGGAAAAATTTCATTTCCCCGTGAGAGGCGTTAAAAGTTATCGTTTTAGAAAAGTTTTAACTATGTTCTCTTCTATTTGCTGCACCCCCAATTCTGTCTGTAAGATTTATTAACTCCCATTAACCAGATTAAAAAAAACAAAATATCAGATATTGTGTAGACGAAGCTCCAAAAGCTTAGGCTACACAGGGATAGCGAATAGTCTACGAGAGCTTAAAGTTAACCGAACAAATGTGAAAACCTCCGGGCCATTGAGAAGTAGGGTTGGAAGTTAAGGTTAGCTAGACATTAGTAGGCGAGCGACACGGGGAAGATTAGGATTAGGCATTTGAGGTTGTAACGAAAGCAAAGACACAGGCGTAACCTCCAGTGACAGAGTATTGTTGGTGTAGTTATAATTAAATTTGAATTTAAAATGTAAATATATTTAAAGAATACTGGTATTATCTATGGAAATTATAATAAACATTTTCACTGGTGACACTTAAGTTAACTTAAAACGCCCATGAATTATGCATTTTCCTCTTAAAACATTATGCCCATTAAATAAAAAAAAAGGATCTCTGGGGAAATAATGGTGAGAAAATTACTCGATGGTAAGCTTTAACATAAATAAGCAATAACAAGTAAAGGAAATGTACTAAATCTAATAACAAATGGTATAATCTGGAAATCAACTTAGATCTTCTTTTCCAAATTCTTGAATCACTGAAGACTTTTTATTCAATATTTTTCCAGAAATTGAATGGCAAGGTATTCCTCAGTGTCTCGACTTCCATAGAAACTGGTTGAACTAAGTCCACGGGCCCTAGAAAAAAATGTAGGAGATGATATGTTAAAATAAGAGTCAATAGTTCGACCCTTGGCCTCTCTAAAACTGTCATTTAAGTCTTTTGCCTTTGTCACAGTCATTGGTAGTAATTGTAAAATAAGAGGTTTAGTCGACACTACCAGACATGTACCAAAGAAACTAAGATACACAAGAGATACAAAATTTCCTATTACACATTGACATTTTATGGGTTTTTTATATGCGAAAATGCCCTGTCAAAAGGGAATTCGATCGAAACAATATTGTCTTATGGGGTATTGCTTTAGATAACTCGAATAATAGATTCTTATCAGACAATCTAAAACAGGTTTATTTGGCTAAGGTACGACTCTATACTATCTTCACAAGTTTCTATTCCTATTTACCCAGTAATAAACATGTCGTTATACTTTAAAGATCGTGGTTGATCAAGAGGTTGGACTTTTTAGTTTAACTCGTTATCTATTTTGTTCTGTTCTCTGTAAATATTTGAGGTTTTTTATTAACATAGAAAGTCATATTTTAAAATCTCATCCATTTGGAATTGGAGTCGCATTAGCATGGTCTTTTTGTTATTCTCGAGGTCAATCAGGAGGAAATGATCTTGGTTTAATAGAAAGACTAAATTTGAATATCTGGTAGGCATGGATTTTCTGGTCTGATTCTGTAAGATGAGGACAGTTTTGTTCGAAAACCAGGCCAATTGGTCAACAACAAAAAGAAACGCTCGGGGCAGGATTCCTGAACCTCCGGGTGTTAGGACGCCAAAAAAACACTGTAACCAGAACCTAAAAATTGTGTAGCAACAATGTAAAATGTCCAAAAAGTGACGGACACGAGATTTTATTAGAAGTTGGGTTTTGAGATGACAATAGCAATAGCATATCGAAATTTTACACGTGAGTCCAATTCTTCAAATTTCACGTGGGTAGAACGTGGATTTTAAGGCCGGAAAGGCCTGTATATTGCAATAGAAGAAATAAGACAAACAAGAAAGATGGCTTGACAGGTAATACACTTCCACTGGCAGCTTTGATTTAGAACAAAAAAAACTTTGGCAGTATAGTAACAATCACCAGTATGAATTTAACTTTCAGAAAAATATTTAGTACGAGTTATTGCCCATGTTCATGAAAACGCGTTCAACTTTCAGCTCATAAATAATTACAGGCACGATTCTTGTCGGCTTTTGAAAAAACTTGTAATATCGTTCCATATGGCATGTAGGGGTTTCCTCCCTTTACAAGTTCATCCCTAGTGGTTTCCCCCCAGTGGTTTCCACCTCTTTTTAATCCTACTGGTTTCCTCCCCTAATTAACAATTACAAACCTGTTAATCTTCATCAATTATTATGATGGATTAACATAATATCAGGAAACCATTGGAATAAATTACATTGTTATTCTTAGATAGATATAACATTTTATCTAACTCTATTCAAATTTGACTTGTTCTACGTTGCTGATTTGTGTTGAAATTGCAATATTCTTGTAAGACCAAGGCATGCCATGATTTGAGGTGAAAAAAAAACGTCATAGACAATGTGATACAGGTGTATTGATAGTTATTTATTTTATATAATTTCAATATAATCTAATACGGCTTTGCAACAAAATTGAATCTTTTCATTAAATTAGTTTAATTCATCACAAATTAGAGATTAGGTGGTTGAAAGACAACAAGTTATTCTTCAACAGAAGTCACTGACACAGGATGAAGTACTTTTTACATAGACCTGTCACAAATTAAAGTGAGGTAAAACCAGTTCTCATGTAAAGTGTGAGAAAAGAAAGACTATGTGGAGGTACCTCCTTTCATACACCTAATTAATCATTAATCTTTTAATTACAATAATTTACAGTTATCAACTTTTTTAAT